TAGGGGCACTTCTTTTTTGGGTCAAGTCCTACATAATCATTTTTACTGGCAAACAGAATGATGGATTTTCTTAAACAGTTAACCCCTGAACTATATGGATGAAAATACTGCAGCTCAGACTCACAGAAGGATGTTTCCCATAGCGATACTACTGTTTCACGAAGTACCAGCCTCCCTTCACTAATTGCACCATCTACTATAGAAGTTACAGCTTGGTCCAGTCTCCCCATTCCTGAAATGTACAGTTCATTGAATTTCAGCATACTGCTGTTAGCTTGGGACTGTGTTTTGGGAGGGGTTGGAAGAAGGGAGCAAGATGCTTGCGTGCGGGTTGTTGGAAGTGTAGCAGGAAGAGCAGCAGCACAAGCAAGAAATTCCTTCAAGCTCTCAAAAGTCTCCCAGGGCTAAATATTGGCTTTTATCAGAATACTGCTATTTTTATTTAATGATGTGAGTGAGCATCTTGGAGGAGGACTGGCCTCTGAAGCCATCATGTAATGAGAACCATCTTTTCTTGTTATCAAAGAAAACAACAGCAGTTGCACCCCATGGTTGCTGTTTGTGCCTGCCTTCAGCAGTGCAAAGTTCCTCGATGAGCATTGGTTGAGGCCCGTAACAGTATATCTTCACCAGTTATTACCTTTTCTGGCAAATTATCCTGCCCTTAATGAAAGCACTGCCTCTCTCTGAGAGTTCATCGGTATAAGAATAAAAGAGATGACATGGTTGTAGGTTTGACAAACGTTCAGCTCTCCAGGGTGGTGGTGCTTGTTCCCAGCCCTACGTGACATGTAGTCGAACGGTTGTGTGACTGCTTTCTTTTACAAGAGGCTACAGTTCAGCCCTGCTTGCTGCTTCTGGTTTTTCCTGTTGTCCTGCTGTACTTTGGTCCTTAGCTACCTTAGTTACCCTTAATAAGGGATTCCCTTTGCTCAGCCTCTGAAGAAAGGAGTATCTTGTGGTGTGGTTCATGCCTAGGGCATCTTCTCGAGTGAAACTCGTAAAGTTGGCATTAAAAGTTTCTTGATGAAACAGAGGTATTATACCAGCTCATCAGAAGAATCTCATGTTGTATCTAGTGTGTCACTTGCTTTTCTGTCTCCCAACGAGGCAGGCAGGTTGTTTAGAAATGCACTTTCCAGGAGCCCACTGAGTCACTCCAGCAGGCAGCTGGGAGTGTAGGGGTTTGGCCCGCTTTCTCCCATTGCCATAAATTGATGGGCAGGGTTAATATCAGATATAGGAAAGGAATAGCAGATGTGTCTCCGTCAGGCAATAACTTGTCTGAGGCTGCTTCTGGTTGGGTGCGGGGATGAGTGGTTTGAAAATTGAATTAACCATGAGTTAGCCCGATCCTCTCCTGTTCTCACCCTTCCTACCCAGCATAGCATCTGAGTCACCAGTGTCAGCTACCTGACAGCTGAAGGCTAAGTCAGGATCACGCTAGCAGAGATCAAAGGAATAGCCTGGGTCCCAGCATCTGGGGGTGGGACAGATGTCCTCTCTTGCAGCTCTACTGGTCTGCAGCCCCATGGTCTCAGCTGTTTCTAATTCTGCCCGGATCCCATGAAACCAAAGCCATAGACAGTGCTCTCCAGGCTCCTCTGCCTGTGAAAACTTCCTTGCTCTGACTGCTGTTTAGCAGGAGATTTGCTTCAGTTATTTGTTCTTTATAGCCTGGAAGAAAGTGCTTCTTGGAGTGAGGCTGGCTTACACTAAGTGCAGATGCTGAATGCCTGTGGGAAGGACGGCTTGAGAGTATAAACAGGGTGGCAAGATAAGCCATTTTAGTCTTGAAGGATCTCCATAATTATATTCTTCTGTTCCTGCCTCTTCCCCCAAAACAAAACTAAACTAAATAAAATACTTTGAGCTGTTACTGTTCACATGCAAAATGAGAGATGCTGTGAATGTGAAACAACGGTGGCCTTCAAAATACGGGTTGGTGCCATAGACAGGAAAATCTAACACATATCTAATTTTGGTTTTACTGCTTTTAATTATCTTTAGGGGTTTTTACACTTCTCTGAGCTTTTATCTGCTTCCACACAGACTACTGACAGTTTGAACTACAATGCTAGAATGTTGAGGTTAGTCTTGAAAGAGTATATAAATTCTTAGATAACTGCCCTAGTTTGCCACTGCTTTAAAGGAACACAATGATCAGCTGGTTAGTGGTTTTACTTTGAGGTCCAAGAAAATTGCAAGAGCATTATGGCTTAAGCTAATGGCTTTTGCAATGTGAGCGTGTCCATGTGGTGTTTTATGAAACATGTGAAAGAACCGTTTGATCAAATTAGTCATAGGAACCAGAATATATTTTGTAAGTTCAGTTTGGTACGTTTTTTTGTGGTAGCACCGAGTGACCTTTATTCATGATAAATTGTTAGAAGTACTGTGCGCTCACCTGTGGATGTCTGCTTTACTCTTGATCAGTTACAATTTGGTACAGAATCATGTGGAATATGTGGAAATTAGTATAGGGATGGAGACTTAAGTGTAATGTGAAGATAATGGCAATATGGGGAAAAATGGCTGTGTATACCACCAGCCTCACACCACGTCAGAGATGGGGCTGGCTGTGCTGTTTGCTAGGGAGGGGTGAAACCAAAATAATCAGTAGTTATTTGAAAAAGAAATAGGGTCTTGCTCTGGCTTTCTAGCAGGGGTTTTTGTTTTTTGGGTGGTTTTTTTTTTTTTTTTTGGTGTGTGTTTTGAGGATCAAAATGATAGTTGGTAGAAAAGCAGAGTGGTGTGCCCTAGGGATTACTAGACCAGTGAATCCAAGTGGGTCCCAGCTGAGGTTGATGGGCTCCAGCATCCCAGTCTGCATGGTGGCTGGTGCATGGTGACAGCTTGCCTTTTAAAAGGTACAAAGGAAACTTTGTCAGTCTACGTGGCAAAGGCGAGAGAGGAAATTCTTTATGATCGGCTTCCTTATTATAAATATTTTAACTTGATACGATTTTGTACCGTTGGTCAGGCTTTCACTTGACTTCCTCTATTCTTTATGTGCCAAGTGGAAAAAATAAAATTGAGAGAAACAAAATAAAGGGCAAGAAGTAGCTTGCCTGGGAGGTTGGAAGGGATATTTAAAGCAATGCCTTCAAAAGCTTTACTTAAAGGTTTAAAGCAGTATATTTATGGAGGCAGATGTGCAATGTACCTCTAGTGGAAAACCGATTTAGATGTTTTGTAACTTGTAAATGAATGTTGGCAAAATATTTGAAGGGAGAATAAAAACTCCCTTTTTTCCTGTGTAAGGTAATATCACTTGTTGGTTTTTTAAATATGGAATTGTTCTCTGCCTCTGGAAGAAACTGGAAATACAGCTGTCACAATTGCAAGTCCCCTTTGCTTGGCGATTGCTTAAATACAAATAGATAAAATTGTGCTTGCCAGCCAGGTAAAGTAGTACGTGCCTAACATTTACAGGTGTTGGCACGTATTTTCAGGTATATGTCTTTAGAATTAATTTGTTCTGTAAACAAGTCTCACTGTTTATTATGAAGGTGAAAATTTTTAAATTGTGTAATAAAAATATAATTTTGGTGTGTTACTTGCTCTTTTTTTCATATTAGATATGGCTTAAAAATCTGGGGTGTTTTTTTTCTTCTTTTTGTAACATGCACTTTTAGCTTCTTGGTAGTTTGTTGGTTTTTTAAATATGAAATGCATTGCATAGGGTATTTTTCTTTGTATGTGTCCCTCCCTCCCTGAGATCTTGCTCTTTTGCACCCCAATATTTTATTTTTCAGTTAAAACCCTTTCCTGATTCCCATGAGGACAGATGGAAACCAGATGCTTGCTTTTTGGATATATTTTCAAGTTCAGTAACTTAGCATGGACTTCCATAAATAAATCTGCAAGTTGTTGAGCAGCAAAGAGCCACCACCCATTTTTTAAATATTGGTTTTGGGGACTGTTTCTCTAGACTCCTGCCTTAATGATTCTTTGGAAGCGAGAAAGATAAAGAATTGTGTATTTCTTCTGTTACATGAGATCATGATACTCATGAAACTTCTGGAGAAAGTGTCAGTGAGCAATACAGGGGTAAAAAAAAAAAGTACAGAAAAGCCTGGAAAGTTTTTTTGCTTTTGTAATGTAGAACTTATTTACACCTTTATTTTGGAAGAAAGATCTGCACAGCTATAGCGTGCTTTGTAAAGGAATTTCTTTCACTTCTCCCCATGAACTTAGTCGTTTCGGACGAAAAGCATTGGGATTGCTCAGCTTGGGAAGTGAAAGGAGGATTCTCAAGGTTGTTTACCTCTCTCTTGCTATACTGCAGTGCTTCAGAAATCATTTTGGGTGCTGTAGGTTGGCAATGAGCAGTTACTACAGTTCTGCTTCTGGCTCTGGGTTGCCCAGGTGTCACAGGTGAGGCTAGGATCTGCTGGGTATTTTTAATGTCCATGTTGACAGAACTCGGAGCCAAAATTCAGATGAGCCTGTGTTCTGCAGTTGGTAAACCCAAGTGTTAAAAAGTGTGACACTTATTTTATCTGCCTGCCTGAGCATGAATCTTTATCGTACTGTTCTCCCTCATCTTTTTGGTTTTTCTTTCAGGAAACATGAAGTCTAGACTTCTAGCTTAAGAACAGCTGAAATGCTCATGATTTGAGG